GGAAGAAGGCTGGATAGATACTCAGGCTAGAAGCAAGGCCTTGGGCGGGCAGTGAGAGGACTCTGTCTTGCCACCCAGCAGTGGAGGAAGTCGCTTGGGCACCTGGGGCAGGGCGAGCTGCCCATAGGGGTGGGGCGAGTTGCCCATAGTGGCGGGGTGCACCGCAGGGCCTCTTCCTCTGCTTCTGACACATCCTGTGCCCCTTCCCCTCTCTCTGACTGCTTGGGCTCCTCCCCTTCCTCCTGCCTTGTGGGTGGCACAAAACACCATAAATCGCTGGGCCCCTCACCTCTTCCACGCACTCGCCAGAGCCCTGACAGAGCTGTATGCTCAAACCGCCTTGCCCTAGTGATGGGACAGCCTCCTATGCCCCAACATTATCAGCCAACAACATCCCATTCTATTCCAGGGTCCTTCAACCTTGCACTACCAGATTATTACTGGACTCCAACTCCCATCATCTCCAGCCAGCCTAGCCAATGGTCAGGGGCGATGGGAGCTCTCAATCCATCAACATCTGGAAACCAAGGTTGGAAGAGATGCTGTTCCACCCTTTATTTTGGCCCAGCCATGTCTACAAGCAACTTCCAGGCTCTCAGAGTGCTCTAAAGCCCCGTGACATCTCTGTCTCGTTTTTACAAAGTGCAATCCCCTCTGGGGAGGATGTCAACGGCAATGTGGAAAAGAAACATGTATCACCTTCTGAAAAACACACACACACACACGTTGTCCAGTGGGAGAAACCTTCCCCTGTAACATCGGCGAGCCCTTGCTTGGAGCCACTTTGGCATGACACAACAGCTCAGCAGGCTCACGGCGCCAGGACAGAAGTGGGCTACGTAATGCCAGGGAGCTGGGAGATCTGAAAAGCACGGTCACATGCACATATTTCACCACAGGATTAGTCTTTGGCCTTCCCCTTCCTCCCGGATCCTCCAGCGTGACTCACCAGCTGCTTCTCCAGCAAGAGCTGACAGGGTGTCCTTCCAGCCACATCAGCGCCTGATGATTCAAAGTGGCTTGGCAGCGGCAGCACTGGGCAGGGGCCCATGTGGCAGCAGGAGAAGAGCATTGCCCAAATGAAACAGATCTCCAGGCACCTTCATGCCCAAACTGGCCCAGATGTTGATATTTGGTCATTTTCAGTGCTTAAGAAGCTTTATGTATGTCAGGCGTCGTGACACTTGTTTTTTTCCCCTGCTCTAGGGCCACTTTTCCTCAGGGTGTGATCTGCCTGGGGCCGTACAACTCTACTGCCAGAGGCAGTCTTCTTCTGAGTACCAGCTGCTAGAAGCCACAGGAGGGGAGACTTGCTGTTGTGCCCAGGCCTTGCTTACAGGTTGCCCATTAGGGATGCTGAACTAGAGGGGCTACTGGCTTGGTCCAGCAGGCTGTTTAAATTCTTAACAGTGGTGGGTCAAGTTAGAGCCCAAGGGAGGAGGAGAAGAAGAAAAGAGGAGTTTGGATTTGATGTCCTGCTTTATCACTACCCGAAGGAGTCTCAAAGCAGCTAACATTCTCCTTTCCCTTCCTCCCCCACAACAAACACTCTGTGAGGTGAGTGGGGCTGAGAGACTTCAAAGAAGTGTGACTAGCCCAAGGTCACCCAGCAGCTGCATGTGGAGGAGTGGAGGCACGAACCCGGTTCACCAGATTACGAGTCCACCACTCTTAACCACTACACCACACTGGCTCTCACCTTTCTGTCTCTTTTGGACACCCCTCCACCCCCAATTTATTTATTTGTGGGATTTCTAATCCTTGTCCTTTATATCCTGCCTCCCCCCCCCCCCGAGGAGCTCAAGACAGCATACATGGTTTACGTCTCTCCATTTTAACCTCACAACAACCTCGTGAGGTAGTTTAGGCTGACAGACAGAGACTGGCTTAAGGTCACTCCGTGATCTCCATGGCTGAGGGGGGATTTGAACCCGTTTCCTACAGTGACACCGCCAGATGCATCTGGAAAACCCACAGAGCTTGAAAGGTGAGGAGGGAAATCTGTGACCCTTAGTGGCCAGAATTCAGAGGCAGACTGTCCCTGAACCTAGAACTTCTGTAAAGGCTTTGAGGCTACAGCCTGATAGAACTCTCCTCCTCCATCAATTTATCTAAAGCCCTGCTTAAAATATTCTAAAGTAGGAGCCACTTCGTCACTTGAGTCCCAAGCACTGGAGTTCTATAGACCTAGCAAGCCTACAGAAGTGGAGGTAGAGAGATATGGAGCAGGACTTCGGGAGATTACCTAAGTAACAGGTGGAAAACTTCAGGTCCTACAGGCCCTTGGGACTATCCACAGGCCACACCCTCTTATTGGACCTGCCTCAAAGCATAGTTGTCAATGTTTCCCTTTTTTTAAGAGAAATTCCCTTATTCTGAATAGGATTCCTCACAAGAAAAGGGAAAAATTGACAGCTATGCCTCAAATCCTCCTTTCACCTGCTTGGAACATGAATTCTGAGAATGGCTCTTGCTTGCCTGGACAGGAACAGAAAGGAGTGCAGTGTCTCTAGAACACTGTACAAAGGCCCAATACGCATTAATTGCTTCACCCACTTGTGCCTCTGGCCCTGCCCACTATGGGCAGGTGGCCCTTGGAAGCCTGCCCAGAAGGGAACTTGGGCTGGAAAAGCTATGATCAAGCATTCCCAAGAGAAAGCCCAGCAGCTATGGCCATGGTGAAGAGGCAGAGCAAAGTGCATCATGCCGGTGTCCCTGGCAACAGGGACAAGAGCAAGGAGAGACATGGGAATTCAGGGCAGAGAAAGGAGGCGTGTGTGACTTTGAGAGCTGCATATAAGGACAAGGGGAAATGAAATGAGGAGGAATCCCCTGAGGTCCCGCTACGAATGGAGAGGAGGACCCAGAAGTAAAAGAGAAGCAGGCTTGCTTTGGAGCCTTCTCCCCAACAGCTGAGGTCTACATGGTTGGTCAGGGAGGTCAACAGGGCCCTTGTCAAAAAGCCCCTGGACCTATTTGTCTGCAATTTGACAGGCTTAATTCACTCCGGAGGGATTCCTCTGTCTGCAAATTTAATTCACTTCTGCTGTTTTTAGAGTCCCCATAAGTGTGCTTCTTTTTCCATAGAGCAGCTCAGAATCTGAATTACAGAGTGGCTCAGAAATGGATCAGATAAAAGGGGGGGGAGATATAAGGCAAATCTCAGGGCTTGTGCATACATCCCTACTATCTGATGCACCCTGGGCTCCTTTAGAATGAAAAGTGGGATATTAATTTAATGAATAAATCGTATGCAAAGTGAACTCCAGCTCTCCTTTGAAATTCACGTTTCTCCTAATCTTGTGACCCAGTGCTTAAAACCCCCAAATGCATACATTAGAGGAAAGTGTGTGCAAAAAAATGTATTAGTGGAAATAACATGCAAAAGTGTGTGCACTGGGAAAAACTGCATACAAAAATACATACATTAGGGAAAATGGGCATGCAATTGCATACAAAATTTCACGTGGGCTTAAAAATGAATAAATTACAAACTGATGCAAAAATGAGAAACTGAAAGAAATCAAAATTGAAAGGTTTGCCCACACGTACTCCAGCCTCCCGCTGTTGCCTATAGAGCCCCCAATAGAAAACCTTCAAGAAAGGAGAGTTAATCACCTTCCAAATTAGCCTGTATCTGCTTTCTAAGGCAATGGGTAAGGAACCACAGGCCTGTGGGCCCAATGTGGCCCCTCTAGGCACCTCAGAACTCTCTCCAAGCCACATCCCTTAAAAGAAGAGAACATGGGCCTTGGGGTAAAAAAAATGTTCCCTTACCAACATCTTGCCACAGCTTCCTGTCCCTTCCCCAAAAATGCCACCTGAGACAGCTGCCTCACTCCACCAATGACCAACCCGGCACCGAGTCTCAGTGTTGTAGGCCTCACCTCTACCCTCCACACATCTCTTGACATTTCAGTTTCTCCGTAAATGCTACTCCCATTTTAAATGATTTTTTAAAAGAGCCTTTTGTACACCCATCCCCTATTTGTAGCTATGTATGCACAGCAAAGAGATGAACAAATTACTGGGGAAGCCTGGCATGAGGCCCTCAAAAAACTTGCCTGGAAGGAAATGTAGCCTTCAAGCTCAAAAAGGTTCTTGTAAGCTGCCCCTCCTGGTTCAGTTTCATTTGCAGATTTGAGGTGCATCGCCTCTACTCCACCATCCAGGTCGTTAATAGAGAGCTCCTAATTGCAGCGCCTTAAAATTACAGCTTTGGCCACCTCCTGCAAGTTCGTGAAAAGGTTCACTGCCAAGGCTTGTGCGTGATGACCAAGGCAGAGGAGAGGAGCCAAGCTGCTCTCTCTGGAACACTGCAGTATCAGCTGATTTTGTGGTTCAGTGATATTCAAATTGCTTGCTGCCATCCGCTCTCTGGTTTTTTTGCTGGCGGGCCCTTCATCAGATGATCTCCAGAGACAGCATCAGATGCTGCGGGGAGAGGAGAGCAACTGGGAGCTTGTGCGAGGGGAGAGCTGGAGGATTTGTAAGGTTTCCTGCAAAAAGGGGCAAGTCTCCTCCAAACCTAATTGAATGGGTTCCAATTACGAGAAAGGTGGATTTCTTGACTGCACATACGAAAGAACTTCTTGACACAACAAGCTAGGGCTATTCAAGCCCTCCTCCCTCCAATACATTTTGGGGGCTAATTGGGCACCTCAGATGGGGCGCATCAGTTCTTTGAAAAGAGCAAAGCTTATCTCCTTTACATCTACAAGAATGTTGTCTTCTCAAACTCCAGTTAAACATGCAGCCAGCAGTTCCCCCTCCTCCTGAATGCATAGAATCACAAAATTGTATTGGAAGTGACCATGAGGATCATCTAGTCCAGTGATGTCCAAACTTGGCCCTCCACCTGTTTTGGGACTACAACTCCCATCATCCCTAGCCAACAGGACCAGTGGCCAGGGATGATGGGAATTGTAGTCCCAAAACAGCTGGAGGGCCAAGTTTGGCCATCACTGATCTAGTCCACCCACCCTGCAGCGCAGGAATATTTCACCCAACATGAGACTCGAACCCACAACCCTGAGATTATGAATTTCATGCTCTACCAACTAAGATATACCTGAACTCTTTCAAACAGGGTTTAAAACCTTGATTCAACGTGTGGTTGATGGCTGGGATGGGTGGGCAGAGGATTGGCAAGTCTCTTCCTCGTCTCTCCCCCTCCTCACCACGGACCGCATGTTTAATTTCAGCTGCTCTCTCCTCCAAGTGTGTGCTTCAAATAAAAAAATAAAACCATCTGTGGTCGTAAGGACTAGAAACATTACTCTTTTCAAAGAACTGAAATTGGGTGAGCTTTTTTTGTGGGGGCATGTTTAAATATAAAGCACTGAGCCAATTCATGGATGAATCACTTCAGCCAAGGATCACCTGCTGTGACTTCAGAATGAAAGACTGGAGTAAGTGGGGCCTTTAAAAAAATTTTTTTAGAAAGCACAGCAAGGGGGGGGGGTCTTCAAAGGCAGTTTTTTTTCCAAAAAATAAAAAGCAGTTTCCCTCAGAGACATGCTTATTTGATTGTCCCTGCACATACAAAGCGAAAACACGCGCCCCTCCTCATCCACAATATAAAAGACAGGCAAGAGCTGTAAGATTCAAGACGGGGGCTAAATCTTTGCACATCCCGTGAGTTAAGAGCAGAGAGCCCAGGCGGACCGCCAGGCGGGAGGGGACATGTTCCAGGAGAGCAGTCAAGCTGGCAGATCCGTGCCACGCCTAACAAGAACTAAACGATTGGAAAATGGCTAGTAATTAGCAATCGATAGGCAATTAACAGGAGCGGAGAGATAGCAGGTGTTGGAAGGAGAAAGCGGACGGGAGTGGGAAGAGGCCCCAGCACACTCCGCAGTCCTTCCCTTGTTGATTCAGCCCCAAAGCTCTGTTTCGTTCAGGAAACGCGAAAGAGAAAAACCCTCCTCATGCAACCTGGCTGTTAATTCATGGAATTGACTGCAGCAGTACAAGGGAATTGACGGCCACCGGCTTACAAGGCTATTAAAGAGGATTTGGCAAATACGCAACTATGCTACCAGCAGCCGGGCTTGCTTTCAGTATTTAGAGCCTTAAACAACTTGGGACTAGTTTATCTAGAGCAGGCACATCCAGCAGGTAGATTGCGATCGACCGGTAGATCACTGGGCGTCTGTGGTAGATCACTGGTAGGTCACTGGCTCTCCCCAAAGAAGCCCTGCACTCCCAAAACGGGGCTTCCCCCTCCCTAAAAAAAGGCCTGAACCCCCCAAAACAGGGTTTATTTCCTAAAAAAAGCTCAACAACTTTGATCTGAACCCAAAAAAGGGGGTAGATCACTGCCAGTTTTCAACTCTGAGTAGATCGCAGTCTCTTGGGAATTGGCCACCCCTGATCAAAGGACCACCTCATCCCATATATCCCTGCCCACCAATTGCGCTCCTGAGATGGGTCATGGCTGAGAGCACCACGTGATCCTGAGGTGTACTTCACATTGTACTAAAAAGGGGGCTTTTAGTGTTACAGCTCCAGCCCTCTGGAATCTGTTGAAATTAAACAGGTGTCCAGAATCTTGATGTTTAAGCAACTACTGAAGTGTGTGTGTGTTTAAGGCTTCCCCTGAAGTGTGACCCAGTCATTTTCAGAAATAAAGAACAGCCCAGTTGTAGAAATTGGTTTTTAAAAGATCCTGTCTCTTAGGTATTTTACCGCATTTTATTTTATTGCACACCCCCCCCCTTTGATAGCTACTGGCTCTGAAGTGGTTTCTAAATCTATAAAATAAATAGATGCCTGGAGGTGGTGAGGTCCATTGATGGGTATTAACTATAATAGCTACAAAAAACCTTCAGTTTTATAGGTGGTCTACCATTGAATATCACTTGAGGGTGGGGGCATTAAAAAGCGTGAGAAATGTTCCCTTTGCGCAACACTTATGGGTTTTGAAGGAACAGGGGCTGGCCTCTGTTGGAAATCAGAGGTGAGGCTATTATTTCCATTTGTTCCATAATGGCTCTTCTTGTGTTTAATTTATTCCTTTTTAGAAGGAAGGAAGGACAGAAAGAAAAGTTATTTTTCACAAGTTGCTTTCATCTTTACTCTCATCCAAAGAAGAAAGAGAGCTATCCAGGGTACTGAAGTCTCCAGTCCATCACAGGAAATGTTCTGCCACCTCTGATTTGCACAGTAATATGGGCGAGAAACTTGAGGGTCTGATATGTGAGTGTGTGTGGGAGAGAGAGACACCTGTAGGGCAGGGTGGGCAATCTTTTCCATCCTGAGGGCTGCATTCCTCTTTGGGCATAACTGTAAAATTCTGTGTTGTAGCTATAAGCATTGCATGCTGAACTCTTAGAATCCAGAAAGCCAGTTAAAGATTTCCAGTACTTGAGAGTGGGGCCTTGGTGCAAAATCATCAGAAGCAGTTAAACAGTAATATATATTTTAAAAAATCAGAATAAGTTAAACACACACACTGCTCAAATTGCTGAAGCATGGGTTGTTAGGGTGCCAAATTTAAATTAAAAAAAACAACAAATTGCTACAAATAATATTCTTAAGGATGCCATGCTAAATAGGGGAAGGGTCATAGAATCATAGAGTTGGGAGAGACCACAAGGGCCATGGAGTCTAACCCCCTGCCAAGCAGGGTCCAGAGCTCAGTGGGAAAGAACTGGAGTTCTAGTTTGTTTCTTAAAAAGAAAAGAATCAGATAGAAGAGGGTACCCAACACTCCCAACGTTGTTGGGCTCCAATTCCCAACAGCCCCAACCAATGCAGCCATTGGGCAGGGATGGGAGTTGCTCTCCAGCAAATCTGGAAGGCCATGGGTGCGCCACTCTTCTCGTAGATGCATGTCCCAGCCAATTAGGTTTCACATATTACATGTAAAGCAGGGAAGGCAAAGCCTATGGCTGCCCTGTGTTGCTGGACTTCAACTCCCATCAGCCCCAGCAAGCATGACCAATAGAGAGGGATGATGGGAGTTGTGGTCCAACATCATCTGGAGGAGACTGCATGGGCTACCCCTGAGACAGAAGGTGGCAGAAAAGGCTGGTTTTTTTGCCCAAGACCCTGGAGAACCACTGTAGTAACAGTGCTGGAATAGATGGGCATCTGGCCTCACTTAGTGGAAGACAAACTCCTGGGTTCCAAATGAGAGACAGTAGTTCAGTGGTAGAGCATCTGCTTTGCATGCAGAAGGTCCCAGGTTCAAGCCCCACCAGCGTCTCCATAAAAAAGGGCTCACAAGTAGCAGGTAAGGCAGGGTTTCCCAAACTTGGGTCTCCAAGCTGTTTTGGGACTACAGTTCCCATCATCCCCAACCACTGGTCCTGCTAGCTAGGGATAACAGGAGCTGTGATCCAAAAACAGCTGGCATGAACAAGCTTTCTCTTCCTGAGAACACAGAGAGTTGCTGCCAGTCAGAGTAGACAATGCCGAGCTAGATGGACAAATGATCTGTCTCATCTCCACAACAACTCCCTAGAAGATCTCCAGCTTGCCTCTTTCTGGATTTTGAGAGAGCGTATTAAAAGCAGAAGGAGAAACCTGATCTGCTTCCCTCGTCACCAGCAAACACTTCCCTGCCAGTGGCTTGGCAGATAGACATCCTGGCGGAGAGTCCCTATTGTGTTTACACTTCTTTTTACACCAATTAGCTGAACAAAACACAGCGGCGTTGCAAGCTGATCCAAGGGAAGGAGCCAGCCATGGCGGCAGTGGTGCTGGTGTGTGTGTGAGGGGGTGGGGAGAGTTGGCATGGCATCCACCTGGAAGCCAGCACCACCTGCGGCAAACGCACTCAGGCCAAGGTCAGGGCTTGGACTGGCTAGTGGGAAGCTCTGTCTGCAACCCGGCACCACCCACTTTGTCTCAGTGTTGTCCTCGTGTATCTCATTGGGGAGGTGGATGGGGACCAAAGAAGCATGTGTGGTCACTGCCTGTCATTGACTCTGACTCAACTTACTGCTGGGGCTCCCAGCTTGATGCCCCACTAGTCCCAATGGGCACCAGCCACCACTGGATGATGGGAGATGGAGTCCAGAAATATCTGGAGGCTCATAAGTTCCCCAGTCCCTGCTGCATTCCCTCGTTAGCTTCAGAAAGTAGCAAGCCAATCCTCTGACCCTGCTCACCACGGACGTGTGGCCCCCAGAAGCTTCCCCTGCATGGAATGCGGCCCTCAGGCTGAAAAAGGTTCTCTACCTCTGTTTTTCCTGCCCACCTAGCAGTTCGAAAGCACGTCAAAGTGCAAGTAGATAAATAGGTACCGCTCTGGCGGGAAGGTAAACGGTGTTTCCGTGTGCTGCTCTGGTTCGCCAGAAGTGGCTTAGTCATGCTGGCCACATGACCTGGAAGCTGTATGCCGGCTCCCTCGGCCAATAAAGCGAGATGAGCACCGCAACTCCAGAGTCGTCCATGACTGGACCTAACGGTACCTTTACCTCTGTTTTATTGAATTTGTAGGCAATGCCTATACTTTGGACAGCTGAATCTCTCTCTCTCGCTCTCTGTGTGTGTGTGTTTGCTGGTATATTTGGATAGTGATGAGGGGTCCCTCCAAGCACAATTCTCAAGCAGCACTGAGGGTTAACAAAATCAGAGCGACTGTGCAGAAGAACTTCCTTCCATGCATCATTATAATCTGATTTTGCTGACACTCCCCCAGATAAGTGCTGGATTGTGAGTCTCATTACCGCAAACCAGACGCAGCACCGCCATCCATCTCGGATGGCTGAAATTGACTGGAGATTGGGAAACCTGTTTCAGCTCATGCACCTTTCTGCTGGCAAACCAAGACGAGATGGGTGCCTATCTGAATCCAAATGGAAGCATTCACTCCCCCCCCCCCCAGAGTGAGTTAGAAAGGGTGGGGGGAGAGAAGGATAATTTCCTCTCTTTTGTTGTTTAAAAGCTTAGAGTACAAGCTTAGGAATGTCTATTCAGAAGCAAGTCTCACCGAGTTCACAGGAACACAGAAGGCTACCTAATAGAGTGTCAAATCATTAGTCCATCTAAAGCAGCATTGTCCACACTGAAGTGTCATGATATTGCTTTCAGCAGCCATGGATTCCCCCAAAGAATTCTGGGAACTGTAGTTTGTCAAGAGTGCTCAGGAGTTGAGCACCTCAGAGGTGCCGGAGCTGAGCTCTGGTGAGCTCTGGCTGAAAAAAGAAGAAGTCCCGGTTCAAAGTGATATGATACCGCTATTGATGTACAGTGCAGACGGGGCCTGAATGGAAGTGGCTCCATTGGGTATCAGAAGGTGGATGTTCTCAGATACCGGGGATTGAACCTAGAACCTCCTGCCTACAGAGCTGATACTCTATCACTGAGCCACAGCCCTGAAAGGTGCTTCCTACCAGATAAATGTGCATAGGAAGCGTTGGGAATCTCTGACCTGTGGGCCAAATGTGACCCTCTTAGCTGGCCTATGGGAACCCACCCCTGCCCCTAGCTCTGTAGGCCAGAGATTTCCCACACATAATGAGGAGTTGCTCAACACCCAAGATTGGGATGCTGGTGAGGTCATTGTATGATACACCCCTTCACACACAAAATGCAGGGAGGGGTGTTTGTTGTGTTATGAGAGGGATAGGGAGAGAGAAATAGGAACCATTATCTGTTAACTTATTATTTATTGCATTTAAATCCCATCTTTTTCTTCACGGTGGCATACATTAGTTCTCCCCCCTCCTCATTTAATCCTCACAACAAAGCTTTACATTTAGAGAACTATTTCTAACACAGTGAAATTAAAGATGGCAGCTGCAAGTTATTTCCAACACCTTATTAAGGCATAATATTTTTAAATTTTTTACACTACATATTTATAAGCTTAGGTAGGTCAGGCTGACAAGAGATGCGGGTAGCGCTGTGGGTTAAACCACAGAGCCTAGGACTTACTGATCAGAAGGTCGGCGGTTCGAATCCCTGCGACGGGGTGAGCTCCCATTGCTCGGTCCTTGCTCCTGCCAACCTAGCAGTTCAAAAGCACGTCAAAGTGCAAGTAGATAAATAGGTACCACCCCGGCGTGAAGGTAAACGGTGTTTCCGTGCGCTGCTCTGGTTCACCAGAAGCGGCTTAGTCATGCTGGCCACATGACCCGGAAGCTGTATGCCGGCTCCCTCGGCCAATAAAGCGAGATGAGCGCCGCAACCCCAGAGTCGGCTACGACTGGACCTAACTGTCAGGGGTCCCTTTACCTTTACCCAGGTCAGGCTGAGAGGCAGCAACTAGCCTACGGTCACCCAATGAGCTTCATGGCCAAATAGAGATTTGAACCCTAGTCTCCCAGGTCCTAGTCCAGTACTCTAACCACTACACCATACTGGCTCTTGCTATGCAGCAGCCATCATTGCCTACACCACAATATTCAGGCTTCTTTCCCACTAAACTGCAATGCCCCACATTATTTTTTAAAAAATTATGTGGCATATTTATACCATGCCTGCCAACTGGATTTCTCGGGGCAGCTGGGTTGCATCCCATGCTGTCCTACTCAGAGGAGACCCACTCCCCACCCATCACTCCCAATGGATTGACTGAGAGCAAGCCTTGGCTGGAGTCAGCCCAACACATTTTACACATCATAAAATAGACAAGAGGGATTAAGGCAGGGCAAAGGCACATGTTTCCTCCCCACACTTTCCAATGTCGCAAAAGCTGAATCTGCAGCTGAATCCCCTGGCCTGGAACTGGCCATTGAAGTAGCTCAAACATTAGGTCCTCGGAGGTCAGAGCTTACTCACTGGGTTGCTACCACTTCTGTCTCTCACAGCTCAGAAGCTCTGGTAAGTAGCACATGCAAGAGGCACTGGAGCAGCAAATGTATTAGTCAGAAGGCCCTGCCCCACCCCGTCCTCAGATTTTACACACACACTCCGACACCATCAATTTGGGCCATAACCTCACCATACATTTAAAGCACTGTGATACCACATTTAAAGCACTATGATACCAATTTAAACAGTCATGGCTTCCCCCAAATAATTCTGGGAACTGTCATTTATTAAGGGTACTGGGAGTTATTAAGGAGACCTTTATTCACCTCACAGAGCTACACTTCCCAGAGTTCCCTGTGAATAGGGATTCACTCTGGAAATTGTAGCTCTGGCAGAGGAACAGGGGTCTCCTCACAATGCTCAGCACCTTTAACAGCTCCCAGGATCCTTTGGGGGGAAACCACAACTGTTTAAAGTGGCACAATTGTGCTTTAAACGTACAGTGTAATGGCGGCTTAGTTCCCGCTTTTCCTGGCTCTACAATATTCTGGAGGCGACGTCTGAAATCTTTGAGTAGAGACCAAGCATGGTGCAATAAATCCATTGTTAGTGTCAGTCTGCAGACTCTTTGTTTTGTTTTCTCCTGCTACCCTCACTGGTCAAATAACTGTTTTTGTAAAGTTTTTTTTTTTAAAAAAAGAAACCTTCACATATATATATATTTTGACCACAGGCGATAAATATGTGTGTGTACTCCACCGACGACAAGAGCTCTATCATAGCACCTGCCATGCCTCTGGAAAAAAGCAATCCAGCACCCAGCCTCTCTGCCTGTGGTGGCGCTTGATCCCTGAAGTTCAGGGGAGTGGATTGTAGATCAGTGGGAGAGCATTTGGTTTGCAGGCAGAAGATCCCAAGTTTAATCCCTTGCATCTCCTGCTAGGACCCCCCAACCCAGCCTCCAGGGTTGGAGAGCTGCCATCAGTCAGCATAGGCCACACTGAACCATTTGGACCAATGATGTGACTCAGTAGAAGGTCTACATTCTGTCGGGCACAGGCTGGACAATGAGAATCCCCTAGGGAAGCCTCAGCAGAGGAAGGCTCTGAGCCAGGGAGAGGGTGGTAGGACATGGGAGACAGGTCAGAGAATGAAGGGGAAGCAAAATAGTGGGATGCTGAAGAAGCAACAGGCTTGGGTGAGAGAGAGGAAGAAGGGGCAGAAAGCACTGCGGACACAGGACAGGCTGCTGAGGAGGAGGTGGGGACCGAGGCTGTGACAGATTCACAGGAGTCTGCTGGTCCTAAGGCATTCAGCTCCCCCTCCACCTTGTCGCCAAAGCCTCAGACTTTTGCATGTAGCAGAACAATAAGCCCAGAGGTCTCAGGGGGCCCCACTTGGTGGAGTTTACAACTACAGGGAAAACAGCTGGGTGGGAGGAGGCTTAGAGGAAAATGGGAGGCCTAGACCAGCATTTCCCAACCTTGGGCCTCCAGCTGCTTTTGGACTACAACTCCCATAATCCTCAGCTAGCAAGACCAGTGGTCAGGGATGATGGGAATTGTAGTTCGAAAACAGCTGGAGGCCCAAGGTTGGGAAACACTGGCCTAGACCATAAGTTCTGGCAACTTCTTCATTGGGGCCAGTCTCACCTTGAGTTTCTCTGTTTGTATTCCATTTCCCTGAATAAAGAATAAACTTTGCTACTCGTTTCTGAGTCTCCGTGCTGACTTGCAACTGAACCAGCCCTGACACATTCCTATTCGATACAGTCCTTTATTCAGAACCATGAGGGCCAGAAACTTATCTGGGGAATGGTCTTAGCCGGGTGGAAGAGCCTCTGCCTTCCATGTAGAAGGTCCCAGGATCAAATTCAACCCTTGGCATCTCCAGGTAGAGCTGGGAATGGCCTCTCCTGCAAACCTTGGAGAGCTGCTGCCAGTCAGTGTAGACCATACCGCGCCAAATGGACTAATGGTCCAACTCCGTATAAGGCAGCTTCCTATGTTACTACACCACCATGCATTTGCAAATGGAGTCCAAAAGTTAAGTCACAACGGTTGTGTGATTTGTCTCAGAAAAAGACTGGAAAATATATTTCGGTGCAATCACTCAATCATGGAGGGATTTCAATTTTTTTGTGGGGGGAGACAGGCTGGAAATAAAAGCAGCTGCTTCATCCACCTGCCTATCCATCCAGGGAATGTGAACGTCAGCAGAGCTATGAATGGCAGAGCGTGTAGGTTCTGCCGCTACAAAACTCAATCTCTTCAGCAAACAAGTTCTGCTGGGAAACTGATGACTCCAGGGAAAGGGCGGGGGGAGATCTCAGCGGACTGTCATTACTCCAAGCTAGGATAGGGAAGCAATGCCTGGAGCCAGCAAAATTGCACTTCCACTTGGAACGAGCCATGTCTGAGCCAAGTAGGCTCTGCCCCCAGGTTTAGAGCCCAGGTGTATTTAGACACATGCCAAACATCCAAAAGCATGTATGTTTGTGCTCTCTCACACACAAAAATCCCTACAAATTTGCCTTGGATTTTGCTTTTAGCTGCATTGGTTCATCTCAGGCTAGGCTGAGAAGGAGAGGCTGTGACTAGCCGAAGGTCACCCAGTGCGACAAATGAACGAGTGGAAATTGAAACCCTGGCCTCCAAGATCCTAATCGAAGCATTCTAACCACTTTGCCACACATTGGGTCTTCCCCCCCTGCCAGGTCGGTTGTTGGGTTTTTGCATAGTGGAAACAGCAACTGTGTTGGCTGAGGACTGGCTGCTATTTTGCATACCCCACAATGCTCTGAGCCTAGCAGCATTCCAAGGCACCGTAGGGGATAGGGGGAACCAGTCCCCACAAAGAATGATGGAGAACATTTGGCAAAGAAAATTGCAGAAATTGTTTCAATAATTTTTTGGCTCTAGTAGGAATCCTCTATTGTCTTCCATTGCCTCGTTTATTTAACTTCTGGATTTTGTGCAGAGAGTTTTACAGGTATAGCCTGCTACAGCATTTGGTTCTGGCATGTCTTGCCGCACACACACAAAAACACACATGTGCTGATTTCAAAAGAAAACCAGCCTTGGTGTGATGGCCCGCATGACTGCATCCAGATTCTTTTTGTGCGTGTGTGTGGTGTGCAGGAAGCAAATGAACTGGGAGCCAAGGCCAACTGCACATGCTCAATTTCTGGAATTACATGGCCGAAACTCTCCTTGTTAAAATGGGCATTCCACAAAGGAGTGGCACGCATGGCACAGTGTACCAGAGAAACATTAAAATAAACGGGGTGGAAGTAATCCGCTTGTCCCTAGTGCGCCGTAAACCACAGGCAAAACAACCCAGTCACCTGAGACACAATGATATCAATACGCTTGTGTGCTGCTCAGCATCAAGCAAATCCACAAATGCTTGTACGCTAGCTCTCTCAAATCCACCCTGTCTCTCCTCCAGGATGCACCACACTATGAGCTAGAGAACCTTGCCTTTCATTACCACCCAAAATATCTCAGTGCTTCCCAAAGACCCCAAATCCAGAGTGATGCCTAGACTCTGGTACAAGAAGGCAGACATACCCTGTGAACATGGTTGGGGAGAGACTGTTTTCCTTTCCGGAACATGGTGAT